AAAAAAAAAAAAAAAAAAAAAAAAAAAAAAAAAATCAGGGCTGTCACCTGTTTCTAAGCTTAGGGAGAAAAGAACAGAGAAACACACACACGGGTTTCATGACTTAAGGGGGTAAGGACTCTATGGTTCTAGGTCTAGTACAATAGCCAGGCAAGACATGATCCCCTCCCCAGACCTAACTCAGAAATCATGAAATTAACCTCTTTCTTAGCTTCCCTGAGTTTGAGTCGCTCACCCCCTCTTTGTCTCTCCCTCCCCCACACCAAGGGCTCCCAAGACCTTATAGAGGTTAGTGTAGCTGACTATATTGCCAGGTGGCAGAAAAGGACTGCTGATGGACTCCAGGACTTTTCTAGACAGATTTGCTCAGGGTGCCCATAATCAATAGTTCTCCCTTGACTGCATAGTATCATCACTGCTCCCCTCACCTCCACCCCCATAATTCACAAGAACACAGACACACATCTAACCCTTGGACATTCAGTTATGTTTCCAAGAAATATGAAATAAACTAAGGCAGTAAGCTGAACTTCTAGAGATTAGTATTTGCTAGGGGCACTGCGTGCACATTTTTTATTTACAGTGCATCAGTTATACATACAAGAGATAGCATATTATGCCATGGTAAAGATAACTAAATCCATAAACTGTGACCCACAGCATTTTGACCTTAAAGTTTCTGTAAAAATGACAAGCTTAATTTGTTATGACAAATTCTACCTGGCTGAGTATACAGCTCAGTTAAACCAAGAAATGAAGAAACCTTTTCTGAATCCCTTATCTCATCATCTAAAGTTTTTCACCAGCTTGTAAACAAATTCTTTTAAAAAAACAAACAAACAAACAAACCCCAACAACAACCCTCCCCCCACCCCCAACTAGAAAGAATGACAGCACCTACAAAGGAAGATCAAAGCCACAAACAGACTACAAATGAAGTCAGCTTACAACTGCTATTTGTTCTAAACTCATGCAATACAAGCTCTTAATTTACTGTTAAATATAACCTTTGATGGTGAAAGTGAAACTCTGGAGAGTCAGGATACTCATCGGCACACTTAACCTCGCACTAGTTAAGAAAGAAGCAAGCTTTAAAAAAAAAAAAACAAAAGTTGATTTATTTAAAGCATACCTTTCCTATCAGTTTCATACAGCTTCAGTGCACGCAGCTCAAGTACTGGAGATAAATTTTACACTCACCCAGAAAAATCTAGCAGAGATAATAGCGTGCAAAGAACCTTAAGTTAAATTTTTCCTACAGCTACATAAAAATACCTTAGAACATAAAAATACTAGAATCAAACTGCTTTTGGAATGCAGGTTCTGCTATCTGCCAGAAATAGTACAAGGGAAGTCCTGCTTTGAAACAATACTTACTAACCTTGTGCCAAAGTCACTGCAGAAAACGTTTCAAGTTGCACCAGCTCCGACACAAACGCCTCAATGAAAGCTCGGATTAAAGCAATCAAATTATCTTCGTTTCTCCCTCACGTGTTTTAATTGCTCGGTAAGAAGTATCTGCGCTCATCTCTACCTTCTCCACTTGACACTGAAGAGCTCACCCCAATGTCAAGAAAGGAAAAAACCCCAAACCAACCCGTCACGCGCACGCTACATACCGCCAAAGCGATTTCGGGAAGGCAGCCACTCCGAGACCTCGCCCCGCGCGGCCAGCGAAGCCGCCCCGGGTTGCAGCGGCAGCGGCAGCAGCACCTGCCGGGCCGGGCCGGGCCGCGCAGCCGGCGGCCCCTTCACCTTGCACCACGCCGCGGACGCGGGCGGATGCCCCGGCGCAGCGCGGCGCAGGGGCAGGGCAGGGCAGGG